ATCACAGCTCACAGCAACCACAAACTCTTGGGCTAAAGCAATTCTCTTGCCTCAGCCTCCCAAGTACCATGTTTCCCCGAAAATAAGACACTGTCTTATATTTATTTTTTCTCAAGAAGACACACTAGGGCTTATTTTCAGGGAATGTCTTATAAAAGGTATTCTAGTCTTCCTTACTGCTCCGTGCCAAAATGCATGGCATGGCTATGCAGCATATCTGCATAGCCTATCACTAGGTCTTATTATCAGGGTAGGACTTATATTTAACAAATACATAGAAATCCTGCTCAGGGCTTGTTTTTTAGGTAGGTCATATTTTCAGGGAAACATGGTAGCTGGGACTATAGGCACCTGCCACAACACCCAGCTATTTGTTGTTGTTGTTGTTGTTGTTGTTATTGTCATTGTTGTTTAGCAGGCCTGGGCCAGGTTCAAAACCACCAGCCCTGGTATATGTGGCCAGCACCCTAACCACTGAGCAACAGGCACCAAGCCAAAGACAGATTCTTAAGATGGCTGAGGAACCCATCAATCTGGCCCCTAGCTACTTCTCCAACATTAGTTTACATACTTTTCACTTTCTGTGTCCTGGCCACATTAATCACCTTTTTTTGGGTCCTTAAACAGTGTCCTTAAGCTTCATCTCACTAGAAAGCCTTTCCACATCCTATTATTCCTTCTGCCTGAAACACTCTGTCCCACAGCTTCTTCAGCTGGCTAGCTCCTCTTGTACCTTTGATCTCAAAGAAGCCTTTCCTGCCATCCTGCTCAGGTTGTGTCCCCTGGTTATACCCTCTGAGAACATTATATACCTCATCTCCATGGCACTTAGCACAATTGCAGTTTTTCATTTAATTATTTACTATCTCCCCAACTAGACTATATGTGTCATGAGTACAAGGGCCATGCCTTGTACCAAGTCTCAGCATTGAACCTAGTAGCACAGTACCTAGCATATAATTCTAGAAAGAATTAATGACTAATAGTTCTAACTCTATAGTAATGAGAATTAAATGATAAAAGATCATTAAATGATATAGTATCTGATATTAAATTATATTCTCATGCCACTTGATAAACCCAAATAGATGGGTTTATTTTTATACATTAGAATTTCAGGGAACACAATATTTAAGTTCCTAGGAATTAACATGCTTCTCCCTTTACATCTTTAAAAGTAACTTAAATACCTTACTATAAATATCAAATGTTAAAAATAGGCTGTCTTCTTTCTTACTCATCCTAAAAGGCCAGGGTAAGCCAAGGAAATAGGGATGACCTGTCAGAGCCTAGAATAGCTTCATGGGAGATGCGGGCAGTGAGAAAGGTCAGGAATGCTCTGGTGGAGAAAGCTGTGGCAGCTGGGACTTTTGCTGTTCCTGCTAGGCTTGGCTGGTTACTGGCCAAAGGGAAAAAATAAAAAGCACCCTGAGCAGAAGCGTAAGACTGGTTGGTTGACCTGTAACACTGGGCAAATTATTTAAATACTCTAAACCCTAGTTCAGGCAGCTGGAAAGTAAGCATTGACAGTAGGCCTGCCTTCCAAAATTGGCATTGCTTGTGGTACTTTATAAGCTAAGAGATGCTGAAATGTGTTAAGAAAATACACTGGAAAAAGTAGTTGAAGAAAATTTGGAATCCTCCAGGAGAATTTTTTCTTATAAAATAAAACATAGAAGTTTACTTTGAGAATCTTAAGGATGAATAAATATCAAATCAATTCTAATTATCTCCACCTAATTAGAATTTATTTCTGCTCAAAAATATTAATAATCTTTGATTACCTTTAACATTTGAATCATAGTGCTAACTCTGTAGAACTACTCTGTTTAAGAATGCTTTTTGCTCGGCTCCCCACTAACTGGCTAAAAGGAGCTGAAGGATGGAGCATGGTGAAAAGGAAGGGAGTGATATAGGAGAGTAACACATTCTGCTCTGCACTTGATTTTGGTTCATTGCTCATTGCCTTGACACAGTTTCTCAAAGTGAGAAACTATGCCTTGTCCTAAAATTACTTGAATGAATCATTTTTTTTTATTTTTGTGCTAATAGCCTGACGTGCTAATTCACATAATTGAGAGCTAATCATAAACTTAGTTCTTGATTGTAATTAATTCTCTTCTTTCCATCTGTGGCAGCTTAAGAACACTACTAGGAAAGAATGGGTAGGGAAAAATGAGTTGAAATTCAGGTCTGTTTAAACTTAGGTTTGATGGAAAAGATCGTGAACCTAATGGTCAAAATGAGTAGAAAAGATTCATTGATAGTCTTGTACTGGCCATGTTATAGCGCAACCATGGGTGGTTTACAGAAGACTATTCATTTTGCACAATTCCCACACTTTATTTTAAAAGTAGCCAAAAATTATTTGGCAAGTTAAAATTCTCAGTAGCATACTTGGAAATTGTGTTCTTTATATATTTAGGTATATGTGATAATTTGATTGTAAAAAGGTGGGAAAGTGGAGTTCTGACTTAGGTCACATTAAACATTTGTGAATAGGCTGGGCACAGTGATTCACACCTGTAATACTAACACTCTGGGAGGCGAGGCAGGTGAATCTCCTGAGCTCAGGAGTTCGAGACAGCACTTGAACAGGAGCGAGACCCCGTCTCTACTAAAAATAGAAAAACTAGCTGGGTGTGGGGGGGGGCACCTGTAGTCCCAGTTACTTGGGAAACTGAGGCGGAAGGATCATTTTAACCCAGGAGTTTGAGGTTGCTGTGAGCTATGACACCACAGTGCTCTAGCCTGGCAGAAGAGTGAGACTCTGCCTTAAAAAAAAAAATTGTTCTGGCTTGGTGCCTGTAGCTCAGCGGCTAGGGTGCTGGCCACATAGACTGGGGCTGGCAGGTTCAGACCCAGCCCGGGCTTGCCAAACAACATCCACTACAACAAAAAAATAGCTGGGCATTGTGGCAGGTGCCTATAGTCCCAGCTACTCAGGAGGCTGAGGCAAGAGAATTGCTTCAGCCCAAGAGTTCGAAGTTGCTGTAAGCTGTGACACCTCGGCACTCTACTGAGGGTGACATAGTGAGCTCTGTCTCAAAAAAAGAAAAAAATTCCTAAATAGAATTTTTCAATGTGAGTGCTTTAAATTGTTCTGCTGAACAGTTAGATTTATGTGCACTTTTTTCATATACAGCAAAACTCCTTCATCAGTGAATAATTGTATCAACAGGAAATTGTGGTCAAGAAAAACCCCTGTATAATACTTTCGATGGGCTCAAAGGAATTTTTGTTTTGTGAAAATCAAAGCCATCACCACTTTTGTTGTACTTTAGACGTGCTAATCTTTTCTCCACCTCTTGTATGTCATTTAAAGATTATTTTTTTCTGTCCTAACATGTTACATGCTCTTTAGGAATTGGCAAGCAACAAAATGAAAAATGTATTCACTTATATTAGCACCCCAAGTCATAACTACTGTTTATCACTCATATTTATAAATGATACATTTTAAGAGAAATATTTGATCTGTACTGTATTAGAATCTGTATAATAATAATAAAATCTTATTCACTTAATAAAGGTATAGTTTGTGATATTTTATAATATTTATTTTTCTTTTCCTTAAATACAGGTTTTCTTAGTTAAAAAAATCTCAGGCTCTGATGCTAGACAGCTTTATGCCATGAAGGTATTAAAGAAGGCCACACTGAAAGGTAAGTGCTACTGCTATTTGTAATGTTCATGTAGTCTAAACAAACTGAAAGGTCTCAATAGAGCTTATGGGACTCCAAGGTTGGTTACTTAAATTCTGAAGCCAGTTCCTGTTACTGGCTTTAAATTTAGATTGACTCAGTGAATTTTTCCTACTGGGCTAAGAATCATACAACTAGTGAAAACAGGAGTTGCTGTGGTATAAAAGAAGTATAAATTCATATTGGGCTTTAGGCAAATAGAAATTGTAGAAGATTAAACCTGGGTTTGATTCATTTTCAAATTAATATAATTATTTTAATATTTTGAGAAGTACTGATGTACTGAATATAAAATAGCTTTTACTCTAAAGGGATTTTATCATCTTGACTCTGGTCTTGAATAAGTTTTTATTCTGAACCTATGATTTTAAAAATCCTAATACAGCCTTTCAGCCAGAGACGCCATCTTCTGGTACTTTACCAAATGACAAAGGGAAAGAGGAGAGGCCCCCGATACATGTTCTCTAGGCCTTTTAGAAAACATGGAGTTGTTCCTTCAGCCACATACATGTGAATCTACAAGAAAGGTGATATTGTAGACAACAAGGGAATGGGTATGTTCAAAAAGGCAGGAGAGTCTGCAGTGTTACCCAGCATGCTGTTGGCATTGTTGTAAACAAACAAGTTAAGGGCAAGATTCTTGCCAAAGGGATTAATGTTCATTTTGAGCACATTAAGCACTCCAAGGGCTGAGATAGCTTCCTGAAACAGATGAAGTAAAATGATCAGAAAAAGAAGGAAGCCAAAGAGAAAGGTACCTGGGTTCAACTGAAGTGCCACCCTGCTCCACCCAGAGAAGCACACTTTGTGAGAACCAATGAAGAGGAGCCTGAGCTCCTGGAACCCATTCCCTATAAATTCATGGCACAATAGGCATACAGCATAGCACACAGGAGAACCAAGAGAACCAATGGAACCGTAATATTAGGTGGTGGAACCTATTTATTCCCCATGAATTCATGGTATAATAGGTGTATAGCATAGCACACAGGATAACCAAGAGACCCCATGTAACAGTGATATAAGGTGCTGGAACCTAGTCCCCATGAATTCATGACATAATAGTCATGCAAAGCTTTGTTGCATTCAATGGCAAGGCACCTCCCCACACTGCTGGATTCTTTTCCCTATGAATTCATGGTATAATAGGTATTAAAAACAAAAGGCTGATATTGGAAAAATGTAAAAATAAATAAATAAATATGCTAATACAGGCTTTGACTCATAGGTAAAAAGTAATTCAGAAGAATTTGCATGTAGATTTTAAAATACTTAAGTCTTCCTTTGATTTAGTAGTATCACTTATTTCACCATATAACTTCTTGATATTTTATTTATTGGTTCCTAATTTCAGTTTTTTTCTCTTCAATTTACATGTAATTTATAAAGCTTTTAAAATATTTTGGAAGGAGGGCAGCGCCTATGGCTCAAAGGAGTAGGGCACCGGCCCCATATGCTGGAGGTGGTGGGATCAAACCCAGCCCCAGCCAGAAAAAATATTTCAGAAAGAATATTTGCAATGACCATTTATTTACTTTTTATTTATTTATGTATTTATTTTTTTAGAGACAGAATCTCACTTTATCACCCTTGGTAGAGTTCTGTGGTGTCACAGCTCACAGCAACCTCCAATTTCTGGGCTTAGGCAATTCTCTTGCCTCAGCCTCCCCAGTAGCTGAGACTACAAGCGCCTGCCACAACCCCCAGCTATTTTTTTTTGTTTTGCAGTTCAGCCGGGGCTGGGTTTGAACCCACCACTCTCGGTATATGGGGCCAGCATCCTACCCACTGAGCCACAGGTGCCGCCCAATGAACATTTATTATTTTTAATGTTACTCTCAGTTAGTTACCCACCATTGATATTACCATCATCCCAAGAAATTTTGACTCTCTCTATGAATACTGTCCTTTGTTTCCATTCTCTTGCTTCCTTCCTGAATGTATTTTCTTTCCTAGTCAGTCTCTATCCCATGGCATTATCACTAACTTGATTCTTGCTAAGACCAGGGTATTAAATTATATCCTCATTGCCCTACCTTTATATCACTGTTTTTATTTCTTATTTTTTACTAGATCTTGCTTTGTTGCCCAGGTTGGAGTGCATTGACATGATCTCAGTTCACAGGAGCCTCCAACTCCTGGACTCAAGCTATCCTCCTGCCTCAGCCTCCTAAATAACTGGGACTGCAGGCATGCACCATCACACCTGGCTAAATTTTTTTTTTTTTTTTGTAGAGACAAGGTTTAGCTATGTTGCCTGGGCTGATCTCAAATTCCTGAGCTCAAGCAATCTTTCCTCCTCAGCCTCCAAAGTGCTGGGACTACAGGCATGAGCCACTGCACCCAGCCTATTGCTACTTTTATATAATAACTTTATTCGCACGAATTCCATGTTACAAAACTCCATAAATAGAACTCAGTTCATTCACAAAAGTGGTTTATTTTTATGTACTTAATGGCATTTTATGTGGATTATATGAAAAGGAAACTACAAAACTCTAAGAAACCTAAAAGATAACAGGAAAGGAAATAAATGTCCAAGTCTTGTTAGAGAAGACTGACTGTTAAGAATCTCAGGCCAAGCTCGGTGGCTCACACCTGTAACTTAGCACTTTGAGAAACTGATACAGGAGGATCACTTGAGGCCAGGAGTTCAAAGTTAGCCTGAGCAAGAGTGAGACCCCATTTCTACAATAAATAAATAAATAAATAAATTAGTCAGGCTTACCTATGGTTATAGCTGCATCAGAGGCTAAGTCAGGAAGATTACTTGAGCTCAGGAATTTGAGGTTGTAATGAGCTATAATGACACCACTACACTCCAAGCCTAAGCAATCTAGTGAAGCCCTGTCTCAAAAATAAATAAATAAATAAATAAAGGAAAAGAATCTCAGTACTCTTGTAACCATCTATCATTAAGAGTCCAGTTGCATTTTCCTTAAAACTTAACAAAATGATTCAGAATTTCATTTATTAATCCAGAATATTTTAGAAAAGAATAATGAGAAGAGATTAAGCTGTCAAGTACTAAATCTTATTTAAAGTAGCAGCAGTTCAGAGTATTATTGGAGGGGAATAATACAGACATAGAAATCAGTGGAATGAAATAGTACAAAATGTATGTTACATTTTAATATATTACAACAATGTTGAGTACCTGCTGCTCTGTATGACAAAGCAGTTACACAGAACAGTGGGAAATTAAATAATGATTTCATGATGTTTTTTATATCCCCCGAGAAACTTGGAAAACATTTTGTTTTTTTGAGACAGAGTCTTACTCTGTCACTCTTGGTAGAGTGCGGTGGCATCAGCATAGCTTACAGCAACCTCAAACTTTTGGGTTCAAGAGTTCCTCTTGCCTCAGTCTCCCAAATAGCTGGGACTACAGGTGCTTGCCACCAAACCAGGCTAGTTTTTCCTATTTTTAGTAGAGATGGAGTCTTGCCCTTGCTTAGGCTGGTCTTGAACTCCTGCACTCAAGCAATCCACCTGCCTCAGCCTCCCAGAGCAGTAGGATTTATAGGCATGAGCCACTGTGCCAGGCCACAAACCAGAAGATGTTTAGAGTCTTCTCTTAAACCCTGCACTGTAACAAATTCCAGCCTGACTGAATTTTCCAAGGTAACACATCTAGAAAACTTATGAAGAAACACTGAGCAAATTACTAACAAATTGACAGTATAAAAAATTTTTTGTAGTTTTATACAGTGAAAAATGGTATAAATAGGAAAACAGGAAATTATTTCATCTCATATAGGGAGTTGATTAAAGGGCTCCTACTGGCCAATCTGGGACAATTTCAACATAGCACTAATGAATGATAATGATAGATTATAGCCCATCGAATAAAACAAGAATCTATGAGTTAATTCATAAATTAATTAATGGAAGAGAAATAAAAGCTTTTTCTTGCAATAGAATTTTTTTTGTTTGGGATTCATTGAGGGTACAAAGAATTAGATTATACTGATTACAGTTGTAATTGTGTCCTGCCCCCAAGAGGTGTGCCATATACTGTAACACCCCCCCCCACATCTTCCTCCCTCCTCCCCTCTACTCAAGCCCTCTTTCTTTCCCCTACCCCCTGCCATGTAGTAGATCATCTGCTGCCTTCATATTAGAATTGAGTATATTGGATTCTTGCTTCTCCATTCTTGTGATGCTTTCCTAAGAAGAATGTGTTCCACCTCCATCCAGGCTAATACAAAAGATGTAAAGTCTCCATCTTTTTAATGTCTGAATAGTATTCTGTAGTGTACATATGCCACAGCTTGTTAATCTGTTCCTGGGTTGGTGGATGTTTAGGTGTTTCCACATTTTGGCAAATGTAATTGAGCTATGATAAACAGTCTAGTGCAAATGTCCTTATGATAAAATGATTTTTTTCCTTCTGGGTAGAAGTCTAGCAGTGGGATTGCAGGATCAAATGGGATGTCTAATTTGAGTTCTTTGAGGATTCTCCATACTTCCAAAAAGGTTGTATTAGTTTGCAGTCCCGCAAGCAGTGTAAAAGTGTTCCTTTCTCCAAATCCATGCCAGCATCTGCAGCTTTGATACTTTATGATTTTGGCCATTCTCACTGGGGTTAGGTGATATCTCAGGGTGGTTTTGATTTGCATTCTCTGATGATCAGAGACAATGAGCATTTTCTTCAAATGTTTGTTAGCCATTCACCTGTCTTCTTTAGAGAATGTTCTGTTCATATCTCTTGCCCAGAGGTAGATGGGATTGTTTACCCTTTTTCTATTGATTAATTTGAGTTCTCTATAGATTCTGGATATTAACCCTTTGTCAGACTGATACCCTGCAAATATCTTTTCCCGTTCTGAAGGTTTTCTTTTTGCTTTGCTTGTTGTGTCCTTAGCTGTGCAGAAGCTTTTCAGCTTAATTAAGTCCCATTTGTTAATTTTGTTGTTGTTGTGATGGCCATTGAAGTCTTCGTCATAAAATTTTCCCCC